ACTGCATAAATGGCACTCGGCAATGCACACTCCAGGAAAGGTCATTAGAATTGTTTTTCTTGATTTTCGGAAGGCGTTTGATCTTGTAGATCACAACAAGCTTCTTGAGACCTTCACTGGAATCGGTGTACGGCCCGCATTAGTGGGTTGGTTTGCGTCCTATCTACATGGCAGATCGCAATTTACATCATTTCAAGGTGAGCAATCAGACCTGCGAAAGATCAGGGGTGGAGTCCCACAGGGTAGCAAGCTGGGTCCAATAGCATTTATCCTAAAAATTAACAATCTCCCACAAGTCGCTATACCTAATGAGCAGGAACAGATATGTGAAGCATCTGATGATCAAGATATAGCTATGTTCGTTGATGATAGTACATTGTCCGAAGTCATTACCATAACTCAACATTCATCTGGTAGCCCAATTGGTAACACCCAACGAAGTGTAAATAACGTAGTGCAATTTGCAAAGGATGAGAGTATGGAACTGAATGGAAAAAAATGTAAAGAAATGCTAATTGATTTTCGGAAGAAGAAAACAGAAATACCACTGATTAATATTGGCGACGATAAAATATCCCGTGTAAAGTCGTATAAATTGTTAGGAATATGGATAGACGATGACATGAGATGGAAAACCAACACTGAGTATATTGTAAAAAAAGGCGCTAAGCGACTTTACCTTTTGAAGATCTTAAAGAGTTATGGTGCACCAAAAAATGACCTATTAGCTTTCTATTGTACAGTAATTCGTTCTGTTCTGGAGTATGGTGCACAAATCTGGAGTGGTGGTCTGACACAAATGCATAAGAAAAACATAGAAAGAATCCAAAAACGAGCCCTCCGAATAATTTATCCTGGCCTTTGTGATTATGGACTTCTATTATCTCAGAGCAATCTGCTGACCTTAGAAGAACGCAGAAACAATTTATGTGCCTCCTTAATTGAGAACATGTTACAACCATCACACAGACTTCACGGACTATTGCCAAAGAAACTGAGTGACATCAGGGAAAGAGAGACTAGGACAAATGGTGAAAAGATTTATAACTTTTTTTGCAACACTGAACGTTTTAGAAACAGCCCTGTAGTTCATGCTATTAATGAATATAATTTTAAATTAGAAAAGTAAGATTTATATACATTTTTATACAATTCCATATATATATATATATATAAACGATTTTAATATACATATAGGTCCATTGATGTAAATAGTTTTAAATAAGTAATAATTCTAATTAATTCTAATTAATATCTGACGATGTAAACACGTTGTAATTTAGCTTTTTGCTATTGAACGTGTATTAATAAACCCACTATTATTATTATTATTATTATTATTCAATGGTAGTATTTTATTCGGCTTTTAATTTGTATGTGTATTGATTAACTCGTAATGTACTATCTGGAGACTTGAGCCTATATATTTAATATATTGTGCGGCTTGCTAATGCTTCGTACTATTGTTATATACATTTTATCCTCATGATGACTGAAATATAGTCGAAATATTGATAAACTTATAAAAATGTTATCGATCTTTGGAGCTACACTTTTTTATGCATTTCTTTGTTGTGCATTTCACGCCCTGCGTCAATTTGACAGTTGACAGTCTTTGTTTATTATTTCTGTACAGGCTCACCTAAGTCTACCCTGGTTGCCAGAGATTCTCGTATCTTTCGCCTTATTTCCGCTCGTATAAATACAAGCGGAAATAAGGCGAAAGATACGAGAACCTCTGGCAACCAAGGTAACCAAAGTCACCTTTCTCCCAGTTAGCCTGTTCGCAGGCTAAATTTTTGGCAATTTTATGCGGGATATTAGGCGGGAATTTCCGGTTTCGGTCGTTTCTGCATTCAGTCGTTTCGGTTTCCGTTCTTTACAGAAACCCGGCTGTATATTATAGATATTATAATTTCGTGATAACAAAAAACACCCCATAATATTTTTACACCAGGGGCCGGTTGTATCAAGCCCGTTTAGCTTAAACGGTGTATAAGTCAAAATTAAATAACACTCTTATATCTCTCGTGAATCAGTCAACTCAAATATTATGCACTAAATATGTAGTTGTAAACATTATCGTTCTATTAAGGCTTAAAATTTTTAGTTTGGTTGTTGAATGAATATATAGACTTGCTTTCTGTTTTGAGCTTAACCACCGTTTAAGCTAAACGGGCTTGATACAACCGGCCCCAGATTTGAGAGCAACATTTGCTAATACGTTTGTCTTTGAAGGAAATCGGAGTTTTTCCGGAAGAGGAAGATTAATTAATTTTCAAAAAATGTACCAAACTTTCATGTAATGTACCAATTTTTCAGCCAAACAAGGCGATATTTACACAAGAGTTAATTAATAAGCAAACTATCAAAGAGTTAACATTTTCACACGCTTAATTAAATTGTAAAGTAAATTGTACCTATTAATTAAACACAGTCAACGCAAACATTACACATGCTACGCACAAAAGTTATTGCCGGAGAAAAATGTGGATCATATGAACGACCCAATGCAACCTACGAAAAATATATTTCTATGGCTCTGTTAAAGAACTTTTTATACAGTAAGTTTATCGACAGTCACCGTTGGTTCATTTTCTTGCATAATACTACCGTTCTTACACATGAACATTGTAATTATTTCTAGTTCTTAGGTTGCAGCATTTGTTATTCCGCTTGTATTTTCACAGAAAAGCTAGACAAAACATCCATTCTGAGTTTTTGACACACTTGACACCACGTTCGCTATTCAAATTTCAGTAAGGGGGACGCATGCGCAAATCCCGCCCCCCCCCCCCGGTGTTATAGTCACCCCTTGTTGAATGCGATCATCTAAATCCGAATTAACACAGAGTAGAAGGTAAGCCGAGGCAGTACGACACGTTTGCCGGCTTGCCGCTGTTTGGGTTAATAAAGAACATAAAGGCAAATAATTTATATAGTTCGGCCAATGTTTGACTGTGTTCCATGCAATTGGCCTGCGCGTTAACGCGGCGTAGCATTTTTATGTGGCAATTCAATGTTTTAGTTCCAGCCTATATACTGCTCGGCAAACAAACAAACAAACAAACAAACCCGCCGAATAGTCATCCAGAGGCGTAAGGAGATTTATTTATTTATTTATTTATTTATTTAGCTTCGCTTTAAATAACGTAAACAATACAAGTACAACATTTCATAAACATGAGACAGAACAAATGGCGGGGCCACCGCAACAGTTTACACCAATTACTGCGAGCCCTTTAGCTAAAATTAGTGACAAATTACAGACAAAAAATATTTAAAGGGGCAGCATGATCAAAATTGTAATTCTCTTAAACCAAACCTTAAAAGAAAATGCTCGTAAAACTGTATAATTACTTGTTTTGAAGATTTTTGTTCTCATGCTTAGTTCTTGAGTTATTTCTTTTGTTTGTAACCATGTGACGTCATCTACTCAATTACATATCAGTAATGAGATATCAGTAATTGTTGTGTATCTTTGCTATTTTTGATCCATTTGTTAAAAAACACAGTATGCTTAATGATGCAGGTTAAATTAACAAACGCTCCGCATCTTTCGGAATATTTTGATAAAAATACCAAAGATACACAACAATTACTGATATCTCATTATATATGTAATTGAGTAGATGACGTCACATGGTTACAAATAAAATGAAATATCTCAAGAACTAAGCATGGGAACCAAAATCTTCAAAACAAGTTATTATACAGTTTTACGAGCACTTTCGTTTAAGAACATAAAAATTTTGATCATACTGCCCCTTTAAAAAAACCTAATTAATGAAACTATTTAAATTGATAATTTGATAAACACCACACACGAGTCTGTTTTCAACGTGCACAACTTTCTGGCGTCACAATTTTAACAAATAAATAATAAGATCATTGCAATACCACAAGATGTAACAATGGCAAAAGCTAGCTGATCCAAATGATAGATGTAGCCTACATTGCGTTTTAATTTCACTAACCAAATTGATCCGCAATAAGCTACTTTCCTTAGTCTAGTAGTAGCAGACTCATCTGGCGTGAGACAGACGAAAAATTATAATATGTCGCCGATAACAAAATGCTTCTTGATAGTGATTAGACATACAGGAACAGACAGCTTGGTTAATGCACAAAGTTAAATCGTTAGCTGTTACATAACATTATACTTGTCACGGACGGATTCTTGCCTGTCGATGCTCAAACAATATCTTACCTTAGTATACCAATGAGAACTGCGTTCGCTTTTTGTTAACTTCTCAGGATATTGATACATGGTGCGATTTAGTAACTCACACATCACATTTTCATTTTCCTGTTTCTTCGTATTTACACAGTAACATTCGTCACTTTTAACACAAGTGGTTAAACATTTCAGTTCGTCAGGGAGTTCTAAACTTACAAGCGGAGAGACAGCGAGTCTATGGTGACGTATACGAAAAAGATTAGCAATTTTAACATTCTTTGCACCTGGATGAAACGTTGCTTGTTGGAATGTGACTTTTACGTTCAAAAATATGACTAAAACTGCATAAAACGAGAGCGATGCCATTATTGCACGCAAAATAGTTAATGTACAGGCGGTAATTGAATAACAAAACGATTGCCACGCAACGTACATCTATAAATAAAACTATCAGCAGGTACTTTAATTTGGAAACCGAGTGTAAATGATTAATGAAAAATGCCAAATTAGGAACAATATTATAGCGAGATATTCTTACAATATTTCGAACTTTTAGTGCTGATATGGGCAGCTGGGTAATGGCAGTCTGGAAGCAATGCGTGTTGTAGTGTTTATGTGTTGTTATAAAGCAGAAATACAACACGATGCAATGGATTAACTTTGGTTATAAAACAACCTAGCACACTAGACCCAACAGCAAGAATACAAGAGGAACAACATGTTTAATTATGTATGCACGTATATAGTTTAGCCCTAATTATATATACAAGATATGAATATATTACGCGAGTCACCCGACTATACTACTAAAACATGGAAGAAGCAATATTGCTATACAGGAACCGGGGCCGGAACCACGGAACCGCGGATTTCTATTTGAGGATCCTGGAGGGGGGTCCCAATCCCACTTCCCACTTGAAATTTTGGCAAAAATCCCAGTCCAGTTGGATTTTTATTAGAAATCCCTGTCCGAGTTATTGAAATCCCAGTCAATAAAAAAAGTTATTTATCTGTAGAATAAACAGTTTTAAGACCTTTTAAGCCACCGTGTGCGCGCACCGTGTGTCAGAAGCGGTTGTGCTTTGCCTTTGAGGTATGTACTAAGCCTAAGGGTTAAATGAAGTATATACCGGAAACCCTGCATATATTCCGCTGTGCATCTGACTTGGTATAATCTGACACGCATAATCAGAGGAAACCCAGAATTCCGGGCGCCAGAGGATGCCTGTTTGCTGGTATCGCTGTGAATAATATAGTTAGGGACTGGTCATTATTTATGCTGAGGAGGGGAGAGGGGAGGGGGTAAATGGGGAAAATTAGTATTGAAAACTTTTTTGAAACCCCTCCAGACTGAAGGCAAACATTTTGTGCCTCCCCCGTCATAAAAGTAGAAGCTTTTCTAGCCCCCCCAGTGGATTGAAAAATTAACAGCAGTGAAACAGGTGTGCGTTGCAGGTAAGGTTAGATATTAGGACAATCTGTTTAATCTAGCTCATGATGTTTTAGCCTTGTGAATATGATTCAACCATGATTAAAAACTACTACAATTAATTACTACTTTGCAATGCAACATTTGTCCTATAGTCTAGGACCTGTATAGATGTTTGTATGCGTTTCATTTAGCACAGGTAATCTCAACTGTTTTAGGGTAAAATGACCATGGCGGTCAACATGGCATATGCGCTAAAACATGAATCCGGGGCAAAAGTCCTGAAAATGACCCCTCCCTGAAACGGCAGTGCCGACATAGCTCTAACTTCCGAAAAGCAAAAGCGACACAGGGGGTCCAACTAAGAGCTGTGTTATGAATATGAATAAAACATTAATTAAACGTAATATGAATAAAACATCATAACGTAATATATTTAAATTATTGCACTTACTTGTATAAATCATAAGAGCTTGTATTTGCAATGAATAGCTTTTAACAGGGCGCTTATACACGCTCAGAAAATCGCTCAGAAACACTTGATTCGAACGATTGTTCAAATATGGCGAATAAATTGACAAAACGAAAATATTACATGACGTTCAACGAAAATAACAGCAAGGATTTCGGGCGCGAGCGGAAGGCGAGGGTAATAGATATTAATAGAAGGAATGAAACACCGGTAATGCGATCGTGTGATGTGTTCCATAAGTAGCCTGTTCTCTCGGAAAATTCCAAAACGCCTCCTGCCAACTCCAACAACGCCTAAGCGCTTAATTAATGAAAATAAACAATGTTTAGCTATACCGGCTAATATGAAATGTTTAAATGTAGCGACCAACGGTTTTTTTTACATTATTTAGTTTTATTATTATTTCGTCATACGTCACGAGAACAGGCTACTTATGGAACACATCTCGCGATAATGGCCAAGAATGCTCGCTGTTATAAATCACATAAATTAGATTGATCAGTGCTTTTTTGGTAATGACTAGGCTTGTTCATGTAAGAGAACATCGACTGAGCCTTAAAAACCCCACAAAAAGCTTAAACGGGTAGTCTAGAAGCATTTTAAAAAGTCACGTGATATTTGTTTCATCCCTTCTATTTAATTATTTCTTCCCTCGCCTTTTCGCTTGCTCGCGCGCCCGCAATCCTTGCTGTTACTTTCGATGGAACGTCATGTAATATTTTCGTTTTGTCAATTTATTCGCCATATTTGAACAATCGTTCGAATCAAAATGTTTCTGAGCGATTTTCTGAGCGTGTATAAGCGCCCTGTTAAAAGCTATTCACTGCAAATACAAGCTCTTATGATTTATACAAGTAAGTGCAATAATTTAAATATATTACGTTATGATGTTTTATTCATATTACGTTTAGTTAATGTTTTATTCATATTCATAACACAGCTCTTAGTTGGACCCCCTGTGAAAGCGACAGCCTTTTTGAAGTGCTTATAGTGTTTAGAAGGGTTGCTTTTAGGGGTGGTCATTGGAAGGAAAAATTTGTCTAAGTATAATAGTTTACCAGAAAATGACTATGCACCACGCCAGGTAAATTGCTGATTATGCACAAAATAACTAATATGCCTGGCAGAAATTTAATGTTCTTATTTCCGAAAGAAAATTATCATGCGATGAAAAACTATGTTTAATTTAATACAATTATTGTAGTTTTCATAAGGATTGTCTTTGTTTTCTTTATATATAATACATTTTAATTCACTCACCCCCCACGAAAACACCATTTCAGCCATACTTTGCCGTCTTGTTTGCTTTTTATCGCCGAGTCTCGCTGATATCATCCAGTTGTTGTACTTTTACATAATGATTGATGGCTAAAGATGATTTCGACGAAGTTTAATGAAGTTTTGAAACAGTGCAGTATTTATCTCCGATATTGTGTCCTTCGATATTTCGTCAAATTGCCGCCATTTTAAGGCTCGCTGCTTCTCTGCCCGATAAATGCCACTTCTTCGTCTTCCTATGTGTTTATACTACAGTATCCAAGAGTACTTTGTTGTAGAATAGTCCCAATGGAAAAAAATGAAAACATTTGTTGGGTTTTGATGGCAAAACCCTCCAGGTGATTATTTAGGTTCAAAATAAGATACAAAGCGTTTGAAAGTCACGCGCAATCTTCGCGAAAACTTCTCGTGGACACATGACAGGGGGGGGGGAGTTGAATATTTTCACGAATATGTTCGCCACCACAGAAACTTAA